AGTGTCGGAGGAGCGCCGGCACTCACGATGCCTTTTTCCGGTCAAACCCGCACACCCTAAACCCCGCACACCCTAAACCCTAAACCCTAAACCCTAAACCCTAAACCCTAAACCCTAAACCCTAAACCCTAAACCCTAAACCCTAAACCCTGTCTATGTTGGTCAGGAAGGTGGCGGAGCCCGGTCGAGCGGCCCTGCTGCGGAGGGAGTGCCGGAGGCTTGGGCGTTCTGAATGCCCAGCAGCAGCTGAGCAACAAGGGACTGCGGAAACGTTGCGGACATGTCCGCACTTGTCCCGTGTGTGCCGAAGTCTTGGCACGTCCTGCTTCTGACGCATTCACGGATGTGGCGTGCGCCGATGGCCAGGGTGTTGCCGAAAACTCGGTGCACAGCGACGGCGCGAGAAGCACCAGGACTGCTTGAACGAATTAAGACGTGTTCTGGAAGTCCCCCAGAGAGTCCAATACCCCTCAATAAAGGAATAGACCTTAGATCATATTTCTTCATTTCAGGTATATACCCTTCCTTATACAAGGAGTATTGGGCTCTTTGGGTCTAGCCGGATCCGATCAAGCTGCGGGAAGGCGCAGGATGGCGCAAGAGCCCTCAAAGCATCCCTCAAGGCGATTTGAAGTAGGCCCGGGACAAAGGGTTTAGGGTTTAGGGTTTAGGGTTTAGGGTTTAGGGTTTAGGGTTTGGGGCTTAGGGTTTAGGGATCTTCCTCATTACCAATCTTCGCTCTTTTGATGCTTGCTCCGACGGAAACCGCTGCAAAAGCTCCGCCTGCGCACTGCTTGGGTCTTTAGACTTTGGACGGCGCCGTACACGCACCTTGTCGGTCGCGAGCGTGCGAAGTAAGAGATGTTTGATAACAGCCATATCTCCGGCATTTTGTGCGTGAAAAGGACGTGTCATGGTTCATGTCCTTCAGAAAGCCGGTCGCAACGTCCGTCCGCTGTCCGTCACGATCTTTCGGCCCGTGAGGGAAACACCGTGACAGCACCTCTTGCCGATACAGTTGGTTCATGGCGAACAGGGACCTCAGCCCTAAGCCTGCTGGTTCTTAGCAGGGAATGAAGGAATTAGGACCATTTCTCTCCCTATATCTGCTCTAAGGGACTATATATGGCGGTACCTCATTTCCCTCATTCCCCTACTAAGAACCAGTTGGTAAAGTCGTACAGTCAGTCCACAGGACCTAGGGCTGAGGGTGGAGGATTTAGGGTTTAGGGCTAGGGTTTAGGGTTAAGGGTTGAGGGTTTAGGGCTAGGGTTTAGGGTTGAGGGTTTAGGGTTGATAAGGTTAGGCACAGGCCCAAAAGGCAGTCGTCCCAACCAGGCGACGGTAACTGTGCGAGCACGTGGATGCATGGCAGACGCTAACCCCTAAACCCTAAACCCCAAGCCCTAAACCTTATACCTTAAACCTTCTACCCTAAACCCTAAACCCTAAACCCTAAGCCCTCAACCCAAAACCCTAAACCCTGAACCCTACTCCACAGGAGACAGGAACGGAAGGGCCTGATGCCCACCTTGCAGCTGCGCCTCCCAAGATTCACGCAAACGCGAGTCACTGTCAAGATGTGTGATGCATCTAAAGCCCTCAACCCTACTTAAACCCTAAACCCTAAACCCTAAACCCCAAACCCTAAACCCTAAACCCTAAACCCCAAACCCTAAACCCGAAACCCTAGGCTCTCCTAAACGACCTGCATCCTTACGCGCAGCATGCGCGCGCGCACGGGGGCGCGCCTTCGGGAGCCCATGTTCTGTAAGGCCGGGGCCGCCACCAGGCCTGCCAGCAAGACCTGCCATTGGCCTGCACCCGAGGGTTTAGGGTTTAGGGTTTAGGGGTTTAGGGGTTTAGGGTTTAGGGATTTAGGGTTTAGGGTTCAGGGTTTAGGGTTTCGGGGTTGAGGGTTTTTAGGGGTTTAGGGGTTTCGAGTTCATTTCCAGAAGGTTGCAATTCGCATGTGTTATTGGGGTTCGACCCACCAAACCCTGAATCCCTGATCAGATGCCTGATGTCGGGAAGCCGGACCATTCGGCATGTGCCTCAGCTGCACCCCAGCCCTGTAACGCTTGTTGAGGCTTAGGGTTCAGGGTTTAGGGTTTAGGGTTCAGGGTTCAGGGTTCAGGGTTCAGGTTTAGGGTTTAGGGTTTAGGGTTTAGGGTTTAGGGTTTAGGGTTCAGGGTTCAGGGTTTAGGGTTTAGGGTTTAGGGTTTAGGTTTTAGGGTTTAGGGGTTTTTGGGCTTAGGCTGCGTTTCGGGTTTCGGCTCTTCTGGGTTTTGGGGTCTAAGGCAAGCGTGGAGGGCCAGGGCCCGGACTCTTGGTCGCACCGCAAGATGCCCAGATGCGACCTGAGATCAGCAAGGTCGACATACAGCTAATATAGGGGTCGGAATGATTACTATTCTTCCCTTACGGCCCCTATATAACTATGCCATAAGAATGCCTCAAAACCCTATTCTAGGCTTTAAGGCCCCAATATATTATGTCGCATAGATTCACAGATCCTCTACAGAAGTATGTGCTCAATGACCTCCACGACATATGAACGAAAACCCATGTGCATGCACCCTAAACCCTAAACCCTAAACCCTAAACCCTACAACCCACCCGAAACCCTAGTTCCCTAAGTCCATGTAAGGAAAGTAGGGAATCCTAAGAACTCAGAGGTGTTGGGCTCCCTCCGTTGGGTGTAAGGTCCCAAACCCAAATCCGAATACCCCTAAACCCTAAACCCTAAACCCTAAACCCGAAACCCGAAACCCTAAACCCAGGGATGCCAAGTCGCTGGGTGATGCGCAGTCCGTGGCACTGACCTCGCAGACCTCGCGGGCGCAAGCCGAGCAACAGTGAAGGGCTAAGGGCCTCCGAAGCAGGGTTTTTAGGGGTTTAGGGTTTAGGGTATGCGAAACTTGCAGCGTGTGAGGTCTTGGGGTTTGGGGTTTGGTGTATGGATTAGGGCTTACATGTTCATACGCGTTTCGTTACGTTGCGTCACATTACATACATACCATACCATACCATACCATACCATACCATACCATACCATACCATACCATACCATACCATACCATACCATACCATACCATACCATACCATACCATACCATACCATACCATACCATACCAACATACATACATGCATACATACATACATACATACATAATACGTACATACATTACATTACATTACATTACATTACATTACATTACATTACATTACATTACATTACATTACATTACATTACATTACATTACATTACATTACATTACATTAAAATACATTACATTATATTGCATTGCATTGCAATACATTGCATTGCATTACAGTACATTACATTACATTACATTGCATTGCATTACATGACATTACAGGCATACATACAGACATACATACATACACCCATGCATGTGCGTATCAAGTCTATAAAGAAACAATCACAAACTCCTGCTCAAAAAGCTCGGGTTGAGGTTTTGGGCTCAATATTTGCGAATGCCTGAAGCCCTAACCCTAAACCGTAAACTGTAGACCTACCCTGAACCCTAAACCCTAAACCCTAAGCCCTAAATCCAAAATCCTAAACCCTAAACCCTCATTGAGGCTTTGGGGTCACCCCCCTAAACCCTCGGGCGCCGGCCAGGGCACGCCGGGGCCTGCCAAGGTTTAGGGTTGAGGGTTTAGGGCTTTTGGTTGAGGGTGATGTGGGGGGGGCGGGGGGGTCCGGCAATTACAGGTCCGGGGATTTATTTTTGGCAGACAGGGACAGGGGGAGGGGGGGGGGGATCTTGTAGTTTTGGGTTTCCCATATCGTGCTGATACCGTAAGAGTCCACAGCGATTCAGATGGGCTCAGCGAACACTCGACCCAGGAGTCACATCGGAATTAAGGGATTACAAGGGAAGCCCAACCCCCCTAAACCCTAAACCCTAAACCCTAAACCCCAATTAGAGCCTACGCCGGGTCCTAGAATGTGATGGCTTAGGGTTCATCGGCTCGGCTGCTTCTTCTGCCCCTAGGGCCCTGCTTGGAGGTTCAGGGGTACTTCCTCCCCTAAAGCCTCAACCCTAAACCCTAAACCCTAAACCCTAAACCCTAAAACCAGCTAGTTCGATCCTGAGGTCCCGTCCTCGGTCGGTGCCCCTCACCGCCGCCATGGCGCTGCCAGGGCTCACGTGTTCACTATCTTGTTTTGTATCTTTACGGAAATCTAGTGTTTTGGGTTTAGGGTTAGGATTAGGGTTTAGGGGGGTTGCTCTGCGCAGCCCCCAAATCTCGTAGGCCCCAAGCCCTCTTTAGAGGGTTTTGCATGGTTTCGAGATTGATTGAGTTTTGAGGTTCAGAAGCTTAGGGCTTAGGGCTTCCCATCTCAAGGCAGCCTCTTGTGTGCTCGGGATGTTTGCCATTCTACTTGCATTGCAGGACTGCGCGGCTTGTCAGAGAGCCAGCGCCAGCAGATGTGCTACATGCCCACAGAAACCGCGCGCCTAAACCCTAGAACCCTAGAACCCTAGAACCCTAGAACCCTAGAACCCTAGAACCTAGAACCCTAGAACCCTAGAACCCTAGAACCCTAGAACCCTAGAACCCTAGAACCCTAAAACCCTAAAACCCTAAAACCCTAAAACCCTAAAACCCTAAAACCCTAAAACCCTAAAACCCTAAAACCCTAAAACCCTAAAACCCTAAAACCCTAAACCCTAAACCCTGCTTCCGTGTTTTATCCGAATCTTGGGTCTGCGATTTCGTCGATGTCGCCAGCTGGCTTTTAAGGCTCGCGGCCATCAGCGGCGTACAAAAGCATCTCGAAGAGTGTTTCAAAGAGTTGCAGAGGTCCCTCAACCCTAGACCCTAGACCCTAGACCCTATGACCCTAAACCCTAAACCCTAAACCCTAAACCCTAAACTCCCTAAACCCTAAACCCCAAACCCTACCCAGGAGGCGTTAAGCGGACTGACGACATTGCGCCAGGCCGCGGCTCCCATGGTGCGGCTCAGTTCTTGGGGTACACGGTGCGGGTCATGATCTCGTAGCCGTTCCTCAACATGGGTTTAGGGTTTAGGGTTTAGGGTTTTAGGGTTTAGGGTTTAGGGTTTTAGGGTTCAGGGTTCAGGGTTCAGGGTTTAGGGTTTAGGGTTTAGGGTTTAGGGTGGAGGCTTCTGATTTGGGCACTCACTTCAGGTTGCGCGGCATGGGAGTTCTAAGCTAAGTTTGGGCCGGGGGCTGATCGGAAGGGGGGGCCTTAGTAATATATATATATATATGACAATACAGTATTTTACTAGAAAAATATTACAATATGACAATATAGGAATATATAAAAACCGTCTACGGGGGAAGGGCTCCCAAGCCCAGGCTCCAGTTGATGGAGGTGATCTCGATGGAGCGCTTGGAGATCAGGAGGTCGTAGAAGCCGTACTGGGCCTCGCCGTACCAGTCCTGATGTGGCACAGGCGGGTTTTAGGGTTTAGGGTTTAGGGTTTAGGGTTTAGGGCTTAAGGTTTGGGGTTTAGGCTCTTTTCTAGCAATACCTGCACGTGCCTAACCGCGTCACCCTGCACCCCACCCATGTGGGGGTGGCCCTTTCGGCCGAGGGGCCCTCTTGTTGTGGATGTTCGGCGTGGCTTCGGAGGAGATGCCTCCACCGCCACCGGTCACGAAGCAGGTGAGTCCTCCGAGCCTGCAATCCAACTCTGCTCCGATTTCTAGGCGAAAGCGTGCCCAGATGTGTCCCCGAACAGATCACCCAAAGCTCCCACACAAGACAGCGTAAACCGGGCAGCTGCACAGCTTCCCGCCTGTTTGGGCTCCACAGCTCCTGGTCGTGGCGGTGCCCGGTCACCAGGAGGTCCAGCCCATGCCTACGCAGCGCGCACGAAGCCCACGAGCTCCCGGCAAGCACGGAAGTCCACCTGCGTGCAGCCAAGGTGCTGCTGGTGCAAGCCGGCCTGAGAGCGAGGGCCCGACACGCGGCCACAAAACAAGGATGCCGACCGACTGCCCAAGTCTGCCAAGCTGCCCAGTAGTTCTTCTCAAAGCCGCATGGGAAGTGCGTGACGGCGAGCTGCCAGTCCGCAGTGGACTTGCTCAACTGCTCGGTCAGCCACGCCTGAGGCGACGTGAAGGAAGACATCGCAGAGAGAGAGAGAGAGAGAGAGATAGAGAGAGAGAGAGACAGAGAGGGAGCGAGAGAGAGAGAGAGAGAGAGATGTATATATGTACATGTATATGTATATGTATATATATATATAGCAAAGAGGCAACAGCCGCTCGAGCCTGATTCTTGCGCCACAGGTCCCAAAACCATGCCTTGCATGTAGCCACGGACGTCGGTCCGCCTGCAGCCGGGGAGGGGCGGAAAGCCGAGCGATGCTTATATTGTACGTGCGCACACACACACACACACACACGGCAGTATGGCAACTGCGGGCAACTGCGGGCAACTGCGGGCAACTGCGGGCAACTGCACGCATCGTAAGCAACTGCAAGCAACGCGCACATCACGCCGCGCCTTGCGACTCGCAGTTTGCTCCGGCCGGGTTGTGCTTGATTCCGCAGACGTTGTGCTCCGGGTCCAATTCCGGATCCTCCGCGTCCTGGGCATTCGAGTCGACCATGAAGATGTCCATGGTGAAGCCGGCGTCCACGAAGTTGACGTGTTGGCTCCAGTATGCCGCAGGCAGTCTCCAGCGATCGCTCTGCCAGGTGTAGGCAATCTGCTGGTCCCAGCCGTTGTTGAAGACACGGCCTCCCCAGTCGTGGTTTCCCAGGACGCTCAGCCACGGCTTGCCATCCAAGCCCGGCCCGTTGTAGACGCTCTCGAAAACTTGGTCGAACTGGTGGTGTGTCACGTAAGCCAACTCGGTCATTGGCGTGCCGCAGGTCTTCTCGATGCCACCCCAGTAGAAGTTGTCGCCGACGTTCAAGATGAACTGTGGGTTCACTTTGGCCGCACGGGCCTTGAACGAGCTGGCCACCAGTGTCTGCGGCTGATCGTCGATGCCCTTCACGAAACCACATCCGGGATCGCACATACGCCCCATCGTCTTGTAGCACTCGACAAACTGCTTGTGATTGCAGAGCAGCTTCGTGTGCTGCTTGTTGTAACGTGTTCTCGGGAAGACGCTTGGCCCGGCCTTCGTCCCTGCAGGGTATGCAACGAGGTTCGGCCGGCCCTCGATTGGGTTCAACGTGCCATCCAGGCCGCCCCAGTCGCCTCAGCACACAGCTACGCACAGCTTCCAGAGCAAACAACCTGGATAACAAGAGAACCCTTTAGATGCCTCATCGAACCTGTCGGGTGCAAGCAGGGTGCCAATCGCGAAGACATGGAAAGGGCCTGTGCCAGTAATGTTCATGTCCTCCCAGGCCATGCCGTTGTAGTCCAGGGCCGTGGCCGGTGGCTTGCACGCGATGCTGTCCTCGTCTGTGCATTTGGCGGTGCTCTTGCCCTTGATGCAGACATCACAGGGAGGGTTTGTGCAGCTGCAAGGCGGCGAGCCACACTGCTTGCCTCCCGGCGGTGCGCAGAAGTACAGCTTCTGCCAGTCATCAAGGCTCGCCTGTTTGTAGTCGTCCACGCCCGCGATGATCTTCATGTCTTTGAACCACTCCGGGCCGTGTTTGTCATACTTGCCTCCGTTGTGCACCCACTCGACCGTGGAGCGGCAGTTGTCGTTGGAGGGGTCACGGAGGCTCGCACACTTCGGCCCACCGGCCCCCTCCGCCTGCTCCTGCGATGCAGCCACCGCCTGGCCACGCCGCTGCAGTGCGTTCAGGGCGCACTGCTCCTCGCCGCCGCACTCATCATCGAGGCCCAGTGGCTCTAGGCCAGCGGCCACGGTGACCAGAGCCACCGCGATCACTCGGGCGGCCATGCTTCGCGGGGTTAGCTATGAACTAGTAGGCTAGTAATCGTGGAGGGCCGGGCGGCCCACAAAAATGCTTTTGGCGGATCTGAGAGTCTCGCCGGAGACCTGGGCCAAAGCATCAAGCAAGGCCACGTCCTGCATCCAAACGATATGAGCCTTTACTTCATGTGGGGGGCTCTGGGGATCCTAGCTGGCCCAAATCAAGACGCGAAAACCCATGACTCAAGGACAGACCCGCATTGTGTCTGCACAAACATGCCCTTGAGGGCATGTCCAAGAGCCCTTGGTAGCGAAGCACAAAGGCACAAGACACGGAGCATGCAAACACTGGACAGTCACAGTAGTAGGTCCGGCAAGGGAAAGCCCCACCACAGGCAAATGCGGCACACCCATCTACAGGACCTGTCCCTGTTCCGGCCAGATTGACAGCATGCTTGCACGCCAAGGACTGGTGGTGTTTTGTTCGCTTCTTCGCACGCCACACCACGGTTTGATCTAGAACTTATTGGATAGGACATGGATTGAAACTTTAAAAAGAGGTGGCACCAATCTCACTCAGGCCTTAGGGTACACGGTCCGCGTCATGATCTCGTAGCCATTCCTGGAGGCCGACCACAAATACTACTCCCTAAACCCTAAACCCTCAACCCTCAACCCTAAACCCTAAACACCCCCCCCCCCCCCCCAAGCCGGCCCTCTCAGCACCTCAACTTCTTGTTGGATCCCCTCTCAACCCTTCGCACCCCGACCCCTCTGCTCGCCCTATGGACCCCCTATTGTGGACTTCGTATAAAACCCCCTGAAATGAACCCAATGCACCCCCCTGTGCAGTTCCGGTTACGATTCCCCTATACTTGGAGGTTCAGGGTTCTTCTTTTTTACCCCCACTGTAACTGCTCAAATGATGACAAGGCTTCCTTGGCCTTGACTTCCCTCACTCTCCTGACCATTAAACTTCGACATCCTTCAACAAAATTGGGTTTAAGACTTAAAATTTAGGGTTTCTCACCTCCTGAGTTCATAAGCTCCAGAAAAGTGCACACGTTCAGCTCTACAAGCGATTTTAGTATCCCAAAAAGTGCAAGGAGCTCCAAAAAGGTGTACCCTTTCAGTTCTATAGGGGATTATGGTATCCCAATATTACCCCAGACAGTGTAAAGTGTACTCATTCGGTCTAGACCCAAGAGTAACCTAGGAAAAAACGGGGCGCACTTTTTGGTTTAAAGGGGATTGTAAGGGAAACTGAACACTAAACCCTAAACCCTAAACCGTAAAAACGGGAACAAGGGTCTACTTTGGATCCAAGAGGTTTAGGGGCCAACAAGCTTGACATTTGCGTATGGACCGAGGCGAAATAGTGTGTGTGAGGCTAAACCCTCAACCCTAAACCCTAAACCCTAAACCCTAAACCCTAAACCTTGTAAGCCCAGGCTCCAGTTGATGGAGGTGATCTCGATGGAGCGCTTGGAGATCAGGAGGTCGTAGAAGCCGTACTGGGCCTCGCCGTACCAATCCTGATGTGGCACTAGGGTTTAGGGTTTAGGGTTTAGGGTTGAGGGTTTAGGGTTTAGGGTTTAGGGTTTAGGGCTTAAGGTTTGGGGTTTAGGCTCTTTTCTAGCAGTACCTGCACCTGCCTAACCGCGTCACCCTGCATCCCACCCATGTGGGGGTGGCCCTTTCGGCCGAGGGGCCCTCTTGTTGTGGATGTTCGGCGTGGCTTCGGAGGAGATGCCACCGCCGCCACCGGTCACGAAGCAGGTGAGTCCTCCGAGCCTGGAATCCAACTCTGCTCCCATTTCTAGGCGAAAGCGTGCCCAGATGTGTCCCCGAACAGATCACCCAAAGCTCCCACACAAGACAGCGTAAACCGGGCAGCTGCACAGCTTCCCGCCTGTTTGGGCTCCACAGCTCCTGGTCGTGGCGGTGCCCGGTCACCAGGAGGTCCAGCCCATGCCTGCACAGCGCACACGAAGCCCACGAGCTCCCAGCAAGCACGAAAGTCCGCCTGCGTGCAGCCAAGGTGCTGCTGGTGCAAGCCGGCCTGAGAGCGAGGGCCGGACACGCGGCCACAAAACAAGGATGCTGACCCACTGCCCAAGTCTGCCAAGCTGCCCAGTAGTTCTTCTCGAAGCCGCAGGGGAAGTGCGTGACGGCGAGCTGCCAGTCCGCAGTGGACTTGCTCAACTGCTCGGTCAGCCACTCCTGGGGCGACGCGAAGGAAGACATCGCAGAGAGAGAGAGAGAGATAGAGAGAGAGAGAGCGGGAGACACAGAGCGTCGAGAGAGCAACAGCCGCTCGAGCCTGATTCTTGCGCCACAGGTCCCAAAACCATGCCTTGCATGTAGCCACGGACGTCGGTCCGCCTGCAGCCGGGGAAGGGCGGAAAGCCGAGCGATGCTTATATTATATGTGCGCACACACACGGCAGTATGGCAACTGCGGGCAACTGCACGCATCGTAAGCAACTGCAAGCAACGCGCACATCACGCCGCGCCTTGCGACTCGCAGTTTGCTCCGGCCGGGTTGTGCTTGATTCCGCAGACGTTGTGCTCCGGGTCCAATTCCGGATCCTCCGCGTCTTGGGCATTCGAGTCGACCATGAAGATGTCCATGGTGAAGCCGGCGTCCACGAAGTTGACGTGTTGGCTCCAGTATGCCGCAGGCAGTCTCCAGCGATCGCTCTGCCAGGTGTAGGCAATCTGCTGGTCCCAGCCGTTGTTGAAGACACGGCCTCCCCAGTCGTGGTTTCCCAGGACGCTCAGCCACGGCTTGCCATCCAAGCCCGGCCCGTTGTAGACGCTCTCGAAAACTTGGTCGAACTGGTGGTGTGTCACGTAAGCCAGCTCGGTCATTGGCGTGCCACAGGTCTTCTCGATGCCACCCCAGTAGAAGTTGTCGCCGACGTTCAAGATGAACTGTGGGTTCACTTTGGCCGCACGGGCCTTGAACGAGCTGGCCACCAGTGTCTGCGGCTGATCGTCGATGCCCTTCACGAAACCACATCCGGGATCGCACATACGCCCCATCGTCTTGTAGCATTCGACAAACTGCTTGTGATTGCAGAGCAGCTTCGTGTGCTGCTTGTTGTAGCGTGTTCTCGGGAAGACGCTTGGCCCGGCCTTCGTCCCTGCAGGGTATGCAACGAGGTTCGGCCGACCCTCGATTGGGTTCAACGTGCCATCCAGGCCGCCCCAGTCGCCTCAGCACACAGCTACGCACAGCTTCAAGAGCAAACAACCTGGATAACAAGAGAACCTTTAGATGCCTCATCGAACCTGTCGGGTGCAAGCAGGGTGCCAATAGCAAAGACATGGAAAGGGCCTGTGCCAGTAATGTTCATGTCCTCCCAGGCCATGCCGTTGTAGTCCAGAGCCGTGGCCGGTGGCTTGCACGCGATGCTGTCCTCGTCTGTGCATTTGGCGGTGCTCTTGCCCTTGATGCAGACATCACAGGGAGGGTTTGTGCAGCTGCAGGGTGGCGAGCCACACTGCTTGCCTCCCGGCGGTGCGCAGAAGTACAGCTTCTGCCAGTCATCAAGGCTCGCCTGTTTGTAGTCGTCCACGCCCGCGATGATCTTCATGTCTTTGAACCACTCCGGGCCGTGTTTGTCATACTTGCCCCCGTTGTGCACCCACTCGACCGTGGAGCGGCAGTTGTCGTTGGAGGGGTCACGGAGGCTCGCACACTTCGGCCCACCGGCCCCCTCCGCCTGCTCCTGCGATGCAGCCACCGCCTGGCCACGCCGCTGCAGTGCGTTCAGGGCGCACTGCTCCTCGCCGCCGCACTCATCATCGAGGCCCAGTGGCTCTAGGCCAGCGGCCACGGTGACCAGAGCCACCGCGATCACTCGGGCGGCCATGCTTCGCGGGGTTAGCTATGAACTAGTAGGCAAGAAATCGTGGAGGGCCGGGGCGGCCCACAAAAGCACTGTTTGCGGATCTGAGAGTCTCGCAGGAGACCTGGGCCGAGACAAAACATGCATTCTGGCTGCGCCGACTATGCGGTTCAAGAGTCAGGGGCCTTCGGGGTGGATGGTGGATACTGTAGGTTTGGGGAGTTGGGGAGCCGGGGTGAAGCACAAGCAAGCTCCCCCCCCTCCCCCCGGCCCCCCCACCACCCTTTTGTCCGCATCAAGCTGTGCTTGACTCCACGCTCCCAACGCAGGGCGTTTTGCCGGAACTCTGCATTTTCTGTGTGTAAAACAAAGGACAGACCCCCATGCTGCTCCAATGCCCAGGCCCGTCAGGAAAAGAGCAGACACCAGCGTCTGGGCGCATTGATTCAGCAAGGTTGTCTGTCGGAGTGACCTCGGCAACGCACGCAGCAGCCCTTAAACCCAAAACCATGAGCATTTCCCCCTCTAATGTACGATAATCTTTCTTGTAAGAACCCCCTGTGAATTTTGAAACGCCCCCTTTGAACCCGATGAAACATGCAGGTTCAGGAAAGTACAGGGTGTCGGAAAGGGGGCCAGAGAGCCGGGGTACTGGGCTCTTCAGGGGGCCGGGTCGTCAGAGTCAGTCACGCACGCACGCGTCCCACAGGCCAACCCATGCAAAATGCTGAACCCTACAAACCCTAAACCCTGAACCCTAAACCCCAAACCCTCAACCCTCAACCTCGAAAGCCTTGGTGTGCAATGGAGATCAAGGCACTCGTTATGTGCGTCTCCCAGTTTAGGAGTACTCGGACATGTTCACCTTGCCAGCCTTGGCCACGTAGTCCTCCACCTCCGGAAGCTCAGGGTTTAGGGTTTAGGGTTTAGGGTTTAGGGTTGCCTTTGGGTTGATTGAGTCTGGGATTTAATGTTCGGGAGTTTAGAGCTCAGGACCCTAGTGTCCACTTCAGATTTATAAGAGCTTAGGACCGTGAATGTCCACCTCAGATTTACCCTTAAACCCTAAACCCTACTCCCTTAAACCCTTAAACCCTTAAACCCTTAAACCCTTATACCCTTAAACCCTTAAACCCTTAAACCCTTAAACCCTTAAACCCTAAAACCTAAACTCTCAACTAAGATCCCTCAGACACCTCGACAAGGCTCTCGTTTTCTTGGGCTTTTGCTGACAGCCCGCGCCACCGAACCCGAAGACTCAACACTTGAGCCCTCCCCCGGCCTGAAGTTGGAGGGTTTAGGGTTTAGGGTTTAGGGTTTAGGGTTTAGGGTTTAGGGTTTAGGGTTTCGGGTTTAGGGAGGCCTCCAAGCCCTCTGCAAAGGGCAAGGAATGATGAACAAAAAGGTCAATCAATGCTACCGCAACAGCATTGCAGTGGTGGAGACGAAGTTGGTAGCAGGCTCCCGTCTTTTAGCAACAGATGCCTCACGTGTTTGAAGTCATTCAAGACTTGTGCCGTGCCAAAGGGCGAACGTCCCAAGCTGACTCTAAACTTCCCGAAGCCCCCTAACTCCCCTAAAAGCTCCCTAAACACCCCTGAACCCCTAAACCCCTTAACCCCTGCACCCTGAACCCCCCCTAAACCCCAAACCCTAAACCATAAACCCTAACCCTAAACCCTAAACCCCAGGCCCCAAAGACCCCCATCTGCGGGCCTGGTCGAAGTTCAGGTACTGGTAGATGGAGTCCTCATTCTTGGCCAGCTCGGCGTGGTACTTCAGGTACTCCTCCGGGTTTAGGGTTTGGGGTTTAGGGTTTAGGCATCTAGGGTCTTCATGCTCATGAGCTTCAGAGAAGCTTTATAGGGGTTTCAAGGAGCTCACGCTTGACCCATCTGCAAGTGACTCCGGCGTGGAGGTTAGGATTTAGGGTTTAGGAGGGTTTAACGGTTTAGGGTTGGAGGTATTGCGAATCATCAGTTGCCCATCTTCTTAGGCAAGACTCGCCCACCCAGAACTCTAAACCCCATCCCCGGGCCCCCAATATATATGTATATATATATATATGTATATATGTATATATCCTATATATATATATATATAATATCTACATCTGTAGACCGAGTCGTGCACAACCTAGGGCCTCAAGCGCAAATAACCCAAAGTCTCCCCTTATTTAGGGTTTCCGGTGAGAAACATGCTAGTCGCCCCACCCTCCTATCGTATTCCAAAAAAAGATGCTCCTCAACCCAATAAGGGAAGATATTAACATACGCCGAGGGCCTACTACGCCGAGGGCCTACATGGAACAGGCCCCTAGAGTAAAGCCCCAAACCCTAAACCCCAAACCCTCAACCCTCAACCCCGAACCCCAAACCCTCAACCCCAAGCCCCAGACCCTAAACCCTCAACCCTAAACCCCAAGCCCCAAACCCCAAACCCCAAACCCTAAGCCCTAAACCCTCAACCCCAAGCCCCAAACCCCAAACCCTAAACCCCAAGCCCCAAACCCCAAGCCCTAAACCCCAACCCCTAAGCCCTAAGGCCTAAACCCTAAACCCCAAACCCTAAGCCCCAAACCCCAAACCCTGAACCCTAAACCCTAAACCCCAAACCCTAAACCCTAAACCCCAAACCCTAAACCCTAAACCCCAAACCCTAAACCCCAAACCCCAAACCCCAGTCCTCCTTGGTCGGCAGCCGTCCGAGGATGGCGGCCACGGCGCTGAGCTCGGCGGAGGCCTTTTGCGAGTCGGAATGGGGTTTAGGGTTTAGGGTTTAGGGTTTAGGGTTTGGGGTTTGGGGTTTAGGGTTTACGGTTTAGGGTTTAGGGTTTAGGGTTTGGGGTTTAGGGTTTGGGGGTTTAGGGTTTAGGAGTTTAGGGTTTTAGGGTTTAGGGTTTAGGGTTTAGGGTTTAGGGTTTCGGGCTTGGGCTTGGGGTTTAAGGGCGGAAAGGGATGTATAATATAGGGATGATTATGGGGGATGTTTTCAAGTAGGACGCAGAGCTTAGGGTTTGGGAAGGGGGGAGGGGGGTCTAGGACATAAGAGCCTATTTAGACTAGAAAAGATAGCTTTGTAGCCCACAATCCATTTAACGGCTTCTGTGGTCTAGGGTCACAAACCCTATGAGCCCTGTAACCCTACAAGCCCCTGTGAAGCACCCTAAACCCTAAACCCTAAACCCCAAACCCTAAACCCTAAACCCTGGACTCGCCTAGTGCTCAAGCCCATAAGCCCTGAACCCTACGAACCCCAAGCCCTATAGACTCCACAGGCCTATAAACCATAAGCCGTGAATGTACCCAAAACCCCAAACCCTGAATCTTTGCTGAAAACGGGAACTCCCGAGCCTCAACTCGTGAGCCCTGGAAAACCCTGTGACGAATATTCGCAGACTACGGGTTAGGGTGTACTGCACCATTGTTGGGGTACTAGTAAAAATGATCATCTTCATTCCTCATTGGGTGTAAGAGATCATAAAAGATGTAACATGATTTTCAACAATGACCCAGTTTAGGGTTGTAGGTTTTGTAGGGTTCAGACCACAAGCCCCCCTGAATGCAACCAAGATTCCAGGTAAACGTTGGCGCCTCTCGGGCCGGCGGTTTGGGATGTGGGCTTCGAGGTATGGAGGCTTCGGGGTTTGGGTTCGAAGGTTTGGACAAAGGCGTTGTGACAATCTACTGCATTTCGCTGGCAAAAGGGCTTGGGACAAGAAAAGCAAGGAAGCCCCAGAGGGTAGGCATACTTGAAGCACAGAAAGCCCCAAGGTACCGTTTACCATAAACTCCACTCCCTGACAGTTCAAGGTGTGGGGCAACCCCCCTCCTCCCAAAAAAAAGGGGGGGGGGGGCATTGCTGGATCTCAGAAGAATTCAGAAGGATTTCTGAAGAGTCTCTGAAGGGTTCACAAACACGCCATCCATTGGCTGGAGGTGCCTTCGGGAATACTAGGGTTGAGGGTTTAGGGTTTAGGGTTTGGGTTTAGGGTTTAGGGTTTAGGGTTCAGGGTTCAGGGTTCAGGGTTCAGGGTTCAGGGTTCAGGGTTCAGGGTTCAGGGTTTAGGGTTTAGGGAAGAAATACCTGCGAGTGCCCCCCCAAACACTGAACCTTCAGGAGTCCACAGCCCGATGTTGTGCGGATCTTGGGTTCCGGGCTTAGGATCGATAGGGTTTAAGAGCCTGAAGGGTTTTGTAGCCATGAGGTTCTTGCTCGCAATCCTACACCCTAAACCCTAAACCCTAAACCCTAAACCCTAAACCCTAAACCCTAAACCCTAAACCCTAAACCCTAAACCCTAAACCGGGGGTTTAGGAGCCTTAGCTTTGTAAACTACCACCTCCAAGCCCCTGAAACCTTCAAGCCCACTAAAGCCCCAACCCCGCATGTGAAAGCCCTAAGCCGTAAGCGCTAAGCCCTAAGCCCGCAGCCCTGAACCCCTAAACCCTATATAGACCCCAAACCACTAACCCCTAATACCCTAAACGCCTAAACGCCTAAACCCCTAAACCCCTAAACCCCTAAACCCCTAAACCCCTAAACCCCTAAACCCCTAAACCCCTAAACCCTAAACCCTAAACCCTAAACCCTAAACCCTAAGCCCTGAACGAAGCGTTGGGGCTGAAATAAAAGCGCGAATCCGTGGGGTCGAGTGGTCGAGGCAGGGGCTCCCATCAACGGATCCTAAGAGGAATCCCCTAAACAAAAAGGAATGGGGCTTAGGGTTTAGGGTTTAGGGTTTAGGGTTTAGGGTTGAGGGGTTGAGGGGTTGAGGGGTTGAGGGGTTGAGGGGTTGAGGGGTTGAGGGGTTGAGGGGTTGAGGGGTTGAGGGGTTGAGGGGTGGAGGGGTTGAGGGGTTGAGGGGTTGAGGGGTTGAGGGGTTGAGGGGTTGAGGGGTTGAGGGGTTGAGGGGTTGAGGGGTTTAGGGGTTTAGGGGTTTAGGGGTTTAGGGGTTTAGGGTTCGAAAAACCCCTCAACCATCGTCTCGACAAGTGGCCCTTGCCCAAGCGGTTCGGGAAGTT